GCTCGAGTGGTAGCAGTGGGCCTATGAGGAATGACTGTGCAGCGTCTGTCTGCTTCACGTCTGAATGAGCCTCTCAGTGAGCAATGACCTAAGAGGGTGTGTGGATGAGTGGAGGGGTGTGTGTGATGGCAGAGGATCTATCTGTGTGACTGCGTGTGAAACTGTACAGGAGGAGCTGTATCCATGTGTGTCTGAGGGTGTCAGGGCTCAGTGGGGGCACATACGGTTCTGTTTAGGGCTTCCAGTGGTGGCGAGCTTTGTAGAAGAGCAGATAAGGTTCCTCAACCAGAGGGGCTTCTTCCTTCCCAGACCCATCACCGCAAGGCTGGGAGAGAAAAAGGATGAGAGGGGCCGGCCCGGTGGCACAGCGGTTAAGTGTGCACGTTCCACTTCAGTGGTCCGGGGTTCACCGGTTCGGATCCCGGGTGTGGACATGGCACCGCTTGGCAAAAGCCATGCTGTGGCAGGCGTCCCACATATTAAGTAGAGGAAGATGGGCATGGATGTTAGCTCAGGGCCAGTCTTCCTGAGTAAAAAGAGGAAGATTGGCAGTAGTTAGCTCAGGGCTAATCTTCAAAAAAAAGAAAAGGATGAGAGCCCACTGCTGCCCCAGAGTGGGGTAAGTGGGAGGCAACCACCACCCTAACACCACAGTCCTCCACCCGCTCCTGGTCCAAGGGAACAGGTGAGGGGCTGGCAACGGGTTTCCTTGGGAGGCCCAGGAAGCTGGGTGGCTCCAGGGGAGCTGGGGGTGTGAGGGTCAGAGCCCCCTGACCGGCTGCGTAGGCAAGTGGAGATCTGCCCTTACACAGGGAGCATGATTCCACACTGCACTCAGCCCCGTAATGTCCTACACCTAAAAGCAACGAAGTTCTTCTCGGTACCTAACACAAATCCTTTACATTTTAGGCCACTGTCCTCCTGCTGTCAGGATCCTTACACAGACATGAACCATTGATCATGGGTACCCTGATTCCTCAAGTCAGGGGACGCGGATGTCATGGTTTCCCCATTTTCCTTCTAAGCCTCATCATTTCTCTTTACCTTCCCACATCCCCTTCTCTGACTCTGTCCATCTCAGGAAAGGTAATTCCCCAAGCTTATCTTGACAGCAGGTCCTTCTGGGTGTCTAACCAATTTCCCTCATGTTCTCAGGCCCTGCTTGGAGGTTGGGTGCAGGGGGACCCTGCTGGAGCAACACGATGAGACGGGGCCTGACGGCCTGGCTGAGGTCACTGGCCACTGAAGTACGTCAGCGGTGGGTGTGTATGTCCCAGCCGGCCGCACAACCTCCCTTTCATCCTTTGTTCCTGCCAGCCCGGCCCATTCCCACCACGGATTCTCGGATTCCCAGCGTGGCGTGTCCGATGAGCCAGAGTCTTCGCCCGGACAAGATCCTCTCCCGGCCCTGCCCTCTGCTCACCTCCTCCTCCCTGTCTCCCTCCCAGCCACGGGAAACCACTTTCGGGGGGGCAGTTGCTTGCAGTCTCCCTTTTGCCCCTCTCCTTGCCAAGCCTCCACTGGCCACCGGGGAAATTGTGGTCGGACACAGGAAGAACTTTTAGGGATGTTGTCAAGTAGGGTGGACAGGTGGCAGGCCCCACTTTCTCCGGGAGCAAAAGAGTGCTGGTCAGCGGGTGGGGAGAGAAAGGACCATGTGTGCCTCGGGGGCAGGGAGCTGGGCAGGGTGACTTCTCCAGTCTCCCTTCCACCTTGGATGCCATCCCCAACCCTTTGTTCCCCGCAGATGTCTGGCTGCTCCGGTCTGGCAGCCAATCCCCAAACATTTCTCCATTCACCTTGGCTTAAACCTGGGTTTCCACATCACTGGAAATGGCTGCTGGTATTGGACCCTCCCAGCTGCCTGCCTGACCCTGTGTTCTGGCTCCCAGCTCCTTCCCAGACATCATAGCACCTCTCCACCTGGGCCCATCTTCCCCCTCGACTCCAAGAATTCTGTGACTTGGATTTTCTGCTCTGAATACCTCCTCACATCTTCCTTCCCCTCCTCCCCGGAAGCCCTCCCATGGCCTTGCCTCCTCCTTCCTGCCCTGCCCCATCTCCCCAGTCCCAGCGCCCCCCATTCTTTCAGCCAGAGTCTGCCCCTGTCTCTCCTGGTGCATGTGTTGGGTCTTGCTTAGGTCAGCCAGGAGTTCCCTGGGGATGGGGCCCGGATCTCCATGCCCACCTTGACTAGAAACACACCAGGGATAGGAACCTTTGTACTTTCCCAATTTCCAGAAAAGTCCATGAAAGTAGGGCTTGAAGAAGTGAGGGAGGTAATGAGGGCAGTTATCAGAGGTGATGATGAGAAAGAGGTGGCAAGAGTTGAAGCGTCAATCAGAAGGGTGTCTCCCCTGAGCTCTGGCCCAGGGAGCAGGGCAGAGAAGAGAAGAGAAGAGTTAGGTAGGTTTAGTGGGGAGGGGCGGGGCCAGAAGAGAGGAAGTCTTGACAGCTCCTCTGGTGGGTCTGATGGGAGGTTCCCTGGAAGAGTTCACTAAAACCAAGGTGGGGAGAGGTGGAAGTCCTTCCTACAGGGTGTGGTGGAGACCAGCTTTGGGGGCCAGTTGTTGAGGATGGAGGGAATCTGCTCCACTTGTCTCTTTCCCAAGTCCCCCATGCCTAGCAGTAGTGTTGGGATGCAAGGGGCTCACTGGAGCAATCCAGAGTCATAAAAAGTACTAACAAAAGTCCCCAGGCAGCCTCCAATCTTGGCCTGGGCGAGAGCTCATTGGGTTCTGATCTTGGATCTGCCATGACAGGTTATGTGTCGCTTAACGACGGGGATGCGCTCTGAGAAATGTGTTGTCAGGTGATTTCATCATTGTGCGAACATCATAGAGTGTGCTTACAGAAACCTGCACACCTACCTACTACACACCTAGGCTACATGGTCCTAATCTTACGGGACCACCATCGTATATGCGGTCCATGGTTGACTGAAACCTCGTTATGCAGCACATGACAGTAACCTGCTGAATGATCTCTGGTAAGTTCCTTAACGTCTCTGGGCCTCCCCTTCCTGTCCCCACCCCTCCACCCCATGAACAGGTGCCTGAGGAGGAGGTGGAGCCTCCTCCAGGCTGGCTCTGAGGCAGGAGGATGGGTGAGATGACCTCCCCAGAGTCCCTTCGGGTGCTGGTGGTCAGGGCCAGTGCTATGGTCTGGGACCCTTTCCCTGGTCAGTGGCGGAGGTTGATGAGGGGAGATAGTGTGTTTCACTCCTGATGGGAACATTAATCGCTCCACGACTTTTTCCCTACCCCTCCCCGTGAGTTCCCTCCTGTGCCTGGCCCCCTCCCCAACACTCCCTACCTTCCTCCCCACCTGGGGCCCTGCACCGGGAGCAGGAGCAAACCCTCAGGAGGGAGCCTAGCCCAGCACTCCTGATGAGCAATAATTTGTTTTATGACAGAAAAGGAAATTGTCTTCAGTTTCACAAGAGCAAAACGAATTCGTTTGAAGTAGTTTGCCCCGAGGCAGGCAGGAGAAGGTTTGTCTCTCGAGCTTGCCTTCGCTCTGCTTCTCTCCCCCTCTCTCCCTCTTCCCTTCTAATTACTACAGCTTCCAAGCTGTTGGCATGAGTCGATGCCAGGCTGTCAGTTGCCAACTGCCCCAGGATCTCACCTCTTGGGTGTGGATGGGGGGATGGAGCCACAGGAACAAGGTGCGGTGGCTCTTGGTTCAGCCTCTGCCATGTCCGAAGCCTTACCTGGCACCATCATTGAGGATGAGGAGGGCGCAGGCCAAGTGGCGTTCCAGGGCCCAGTAGAGCAGTCAGTTCTGGAGTCTGGGGAGACACTAGCACCCTGATGCCCAGGGAGGGGCCTGTCGTGGCCTCGTGGGCTTTCTTGTGTGGACTGCCCATAGTTCCTGACCAGCCCTCCTTCTGCATCGTTACTGCTGGCAGCCTAGAAGCCCAACTCCCTGGTGGCATCTGGGAGAGAGAATGGACCATGGCCACCTGCCGTGATCAAGACTCTAAAATTCCCTGGGAGGCGGACAGGATGGGGAGGACAGCCCCTGGATCATGAGTGTTCTCAGTAAGAAGTCCAGTGGACCAAAAAGTCATGAGACTCTCCTATGCCCGATCTAAGGGTCCCTTCCTTCTTTCTACCTATCCATCCTTCCATTCATCCTTTCAACAAACTTATAAAGTCCTCTTTGAGTGCCAGGCAACTTTCTAAGCATCGGGAGTGGAGTGATGCACAAGAACCCCTGCCTCCATGGGGCTTACATGCTAGTGAGTAGTGTGTTAGCCATGGGGGACAGGGCTGTGTCTAGCGCAAGCCTGGAACAGAGTAGGCACTTAAAAATATTTGCTGAATGAGTGGCTAAATGCCCAGTCTGAATCAGAGGTGACACTATAAAAGTTCAGCTGGTGAAGGGAAAAAAAAAAAAAAAAAAAAAAATCACTTGTTTAACCCTTTCCCTGCCATGCCCCTCCTCCCCCTCCTTTCTTCTCCAGGGAGCCCTCTGGCCAAGGTGCTAAGCAAGGCCATGAGGGGCAGCTGGCTGCACGGAGAGCAGGCAGACGCCAGGCTCCAGGGCTGCCAACCTGGCACCGCTGCTTGGCACTGGTCGCCCTCTGAAACAACAAACTTCATGTCTCTAATTCGGCACTTCCTGTTTGTCCTGATATTATCTTCTGTCCTGGAAGCCCACGGGCTCCATCAGGGTCGGGGCAGAGGGCCGGAGCATTGAGGGCTTGGAGAGAGGGAGAGGCAGGGGTGCCTTTCCTGTAGGTTTCTAGGCTGTGCCCAAGGGCAGTGGGGAGAAGTCTGAGGTCTAATGCTCCAGGGCATTCAGTGAGGAGCCTGAGCCCTCTGTGCTTACACTTCCAGAAGTTCCCAGATTCTGGATTCTGGTCATCGCAGGTTCTTGGATCAATGACACTCCTTCCCCTCTATGACTCTTGGTTTTCTGAATGCTGCCGAACAGGAGGAACTCAGGGGGCAAGTCACCACCTCCACTGCTCTCTTTCTCATTTCCAACATGACTGGGAAGTCCTTCTTGATGTCTAACTTCAGTACCTTTCACTAGCCTTTGGGGAACAGCTCTGACTTTGGGTGCTTTAGCACCCAAGTCTTATCTGTCTCAGGTTCCTGACTCAGTACTTTAGGCACTTTACAGATGCAGCTTCTTCTAGACTTTGAAGTCTCCCTGGGACCCACTGTCTCCCATAAAAGCAGCCCCCTGTCATGTAAGTGTGTCCACCCTGCTGGGCATCAAGATGGCCGCCCCGTGGGTGGGAGGATCAGGGCAAATTCCAGACAGGCCCCCACCCCGGCCAGAGGGGCAGCCTCTGCCACCCCCAGAGCTCCAGGTAATAACCTAGAGGCCACGCCAGGCTCGCCAGCACCTGAGCCACCGGCAGCAGATAATGACGGGGGAGCTGGGCAGGCAGAGCCAACCCCTCAATCAGGAAGCAAATTAAAAAGGGGAGGAATCTCCCAGACAGACCACAACAATGAGACCGGCCCCCTTTCCAGGGCACTGCCCGCCCTCCCCACTACCCGCCCGATTTCGCCTGCCAGGTCCTGATACCCAGCCCTCCCCTCTAATTCCCCTCTCGTGGGATCCAGCTGGAGGTTCTCTGGGTGACCCTGGCTGCAGGTTGGTGGCAGTGCCCAGCTGGCCAGGACACAGGATGGTGGGCCTCTCAGTGAGCCTCTTCTGCCAGCCTGATCTTGGATTCCTGACCAGGCACTGGGCACAGTGAGGAGTGATTTGTGTGCAGCATCTTCATGCCCACAAGGTAGACTCTGGGTGGCTGTGACAAAGGGATTTATAGAGAACCCAGCAAGCTCTGGTCTGACAGCCCCTTCTTTGCAAAGGGCACATACAATCTAGTGCAACAAGTGTTTTTTACACTCAGTCCTGGTCACTGTACAAGATGCTGAAGGGATACAAAGATGAACAGAGAAAATTCCAGTCTCTCAAAGGGCTCACGATCTGACACACACACAACTCATCACCTCACCCATCAGACAGTGCTAAGCCCTCTGTATTTTAGGACTCTGGGAACACGGACAAGGGTAACTTCGAGAACTGGAGAAGACTTCACAGAGGAGGAGGACATATGAGTTGGGATTCAAAGGATCAATAGGAGCTCACAGGCAGAGAAATGAGGAAGACTATTTCAGACAAGGAACAGTATGGGGCATAAAAATTGTGAACAATAAGGATGGAGTAGAAGCCCCCAGTGGCTGGAACATGGGGAGTGAGGGGGTAAGGTTGGAAAGGTAGGATGAGACCAGATGGGGAAGGGGGCTTAAATTCCAGGCTGAAGGATATGGACTTTCTCCTGTAGGTAACGGGGAGCTATTGAATGTTTCTGAGCTAAGTCATGACATGATCAAGATCTTGCCACTAGGGCAAGAAGAATTTTAACTGCCCACGGAGGGACAAAGGGGATTCTTCTTTTTCTGCCTGTGTTTTTCTCCATGGCTGCTGTCTAGCCAGCCCTTTCTCCCAGCTCCCATTCACTGCCCTTGCTCCTTTTGTTGCAAGGAACAGAGCAGAGTGTTTCACCCTCTCTCAGCTTTCACCCAAACCCTGCATGTCCCAGATGTCCTCCTGGGTCCTTCTCTCCTCATCACATAACCCGGGCCGGGGGTGGGGGTGCAGCAGGGAAGCTGGGCTCCTTTCCTTCATGGATCTTTGGGTTTCAAGTCCTCTGTTGTGAATTCCCACCTGACCCAACCTTCTGCCTTCACTGCTACCCTCCCCAACTGAGGAGCTTCTGGAAGCTTTGACTCCAGGAAAACACTTCTCCAATTCACTCAGTCATGGCTTACCCACCCACTTTTCAAAGAAAGGTGCTGGGTTGAGGACTGTGTGGCATGCAAAAGACATGGCCCCTGCCCTCCAGGAGTCTCCAGACCTGTAGGGAAGATAAGAAGCCAGCTCCATGGAAACAGGGCATGTGGCAGGAAGGACGAGGGAAGTTCAGAGGAGCGAGCCAGAGATGTGCTGATAGGAGAAGACTTCATAGAAAAAGCAGCCTTGGAGCCGGGAGCTTGAAGGCTGATAAGCTTTCCTGAGACAGAGATGGGACGGCAGGGGTGGAAATAGTTGGAGCAAAAGTGGGAAGGCTAGACATCCAGTCCAGCGGGCTAGGCTGGGCTGGAGGGTTTGTACAAGGACCAATGGAAGTGAAGATTGCAAAGGTGGTGGAGGCCAAGTAGGAGGGTCTTGAATGTCCCCAGTTAGCACTGGGGAGCCACTGGCTGTGTTTGAGATGGATAGTGCCAAGATGGAGGGCATTTCAGCATGATTAGTCTGTTATTGGTCTGCGAGATAACTCAGGTGGGTGGGCACAGAAGTGGCAGAAAGCCCATAGGAGACCTGAAAAATAATCCAGATGAGAGAAGTAATTGCTGTCACCAAGTTGGCACTTGTCTAGAATTTTCACAGACCCGTGCCCACTTCCAATTGATTCATTCAACAAATATTTATTAAGCACTTATTAAGTACCAGGAACCATTTTAGGGTCTTTCTTCATTTCTCTCTCTGTCTCTCTTTCAGGTGAGAAAACAAAGGTAACTCACACACAGCACCTGGGACCTTAGCTCAGTCTCCTCCTTGCCCAAGCTAATCCAGTGGTTTCTGCCTTTGGAGCAGGTATATGGAAAAAAATTAGAGAACTACATGCAGCAAGGATTTGGGAGATAGCATGAGGTAGGAAAATCTGAGGGCGGGAGGACAAGCAGCTTGGGCAGCACAAAGCTGTTGGTGGGAGGGAAAAGTGAAGCTGACAGCTGAGTGTCAGGGAGACCTGAGATCTCTAGGGGAGGGAGGCTGGGGAAGGAGGAGAAAGATGGGAAGAAGAGTAGGAGACAGGCCTCTCGGCTGAGGATGGGGGCCGGGAGGGAGGGAGGGACAAATTAGAGAGCTGGAGAAGGAAGTAGAGTCTTAGCAGCTAGAGGTGGGTGAGGGAGGAGGTGGGGGACCGGGAGGCGAGGGCAGAGGAAATGGGCCCAGGCACTGGAGACACAAGTCTGGGAGTCTGAGCCCCTGAGGAGCCACCTGGAAGGTGCAGGCAGCGGCAGCATCAAACTTGGGATCCGAGGGTTGGCTCTGGGAGTGAGCTGGAGTTGGGGGTGGGGGTGGGTGGCTCCAGGGGGAGCTGAGAGCAAGACAGAAGCTTGAATCTACCATTAACCCTGCTGGGTCTTCAGCTTCCTCCAGCACCCGCCCCCTTTCCTCTCAAAGCCAGAAGCCAGGACTTCAGAGTCCCACCCCCCACCCCTCGTGTAGCTCTGGGCTCCACTGTGCCCACCCCCAGGCTTCCTACCTCGTCATTGGTGGTGGGAAAGCATGTTGTTCCCAGGTGTGAATAGAGCAGGAAAGGGGGTCTCCTGCCAAATAGGGTCCGGGTTCTGTTAATAGCTCCCCTCCCCTAAAACCAGTCAGGGTCTCCCTACACCCTTTACTGATCCAAAGGCTGGACGAAGCCATGTGGGCCGGTGGGTCCAGGCCAAGGGCTGAGTCCCTTTCCTCCCCCCAACTCTCCCCACCCCAAGATTCTCCCATCTTTTGGACTGGACCTGCTACCTAAGCATATGGAACCGATTGAAAGAATTTGTATGCTCACCTTATAATTTATGCAAATCAACTCTGTAATTAACTATAATTTGGAGGCATCCTTTGGTATTTGAGACATTTATCCATGAGGAAATGCCCTAGTGATAATGCTCCCGTATTAACATTATTTACTCCACCTGTGTGGTCTCCTCAGCTTGTTACCCCCCTCACTCTGATTTTCTGGGCTGGAAGGTGGGGAGGGACAGGGAAGCCCCTCCCTGGAGCCTGCCTCAGTCCTGATGCCGGGGTTCCCCGGGGGAGTTGTGCTGGCCCTGTCCTCCCAATTTTGCCTAGGATTGAAGGAAGGGGGGCAGCTCTGCCTCCTAAGCACCACCCCCCCCCCACCCCACTCAACTCTCTCCCGCCTGATGGGTGGCTTTCCGCTGAGTTTTTTAGCTTTCTTAAGGGCCTCAATGTTCTCATCTCTGAAACGGGGAGAGGAAGGACCTGTCGGGGCCTTTACAGGATAATTACTGAAAAGCTAATGAAGGAACTGGGAATCCCCAGTCTAGAGGTTTCTGGGGGTGTAGGGGGAGGAGCAGGACAAGAGTTCAGGATGAAGACTCCCTGACTCACCCTGTGGGAGACTCGGTGGGGGCAGTGGCATGCCAGCCTTGGGTCACTGGGTTCTGTGTGTGTGTAGAGGGAGTGCTCAGCAGCTCCTGTTCTCAGTGCCAAGGGCACTGGTCTATGGCGCAGAAGGGGCCGTGGTCACCTGAAAAGGCTCCCGGTCACTCTCCTATGTGGGTCAGAATTTCTAGCTTCAGAGAGCTTTGGGAAACCAGTCCTATTCTGTTTCATCTCCTTTCTCCTTCCTGGTTGTTTTGTCCTTCTCTGCTCCAGGACGTGCTCCTGTTAGCCAACATGCCTAAACTTACAACCACCCTAAAATTAAGTTCACGTAAATAGTTGGGGATGTGGGGGCTCCACCTAAATTCACCTCCAGGCCCCTTCTCCCTTTCCAGGCCATCTTCCCAGCCTCTTCACTCTCCTGGAGTTCCAGGATTCCGGAACTGTCTATAAACATTCTTGGCTGGTATCTACCTCTGGTCTTAGGTGACCTCTTGTCCATCTCAAGCTGCCCCAGCACATCCTAAGGTAGGGAGAGGGTCTTCCCTCCCCATTTGACAATGAAAGATCCAAGATCCCAAAGGTGGATTACACCTGGGGGTTCCAAGTTGGGAAGTATCTGAAAAGGGGATGAAGAAAAGCGAGAGGGAGGAATGAGGCTCCAGCAGAGGCGGGAGAGACCCTCTGGAGCAACAGCATCACTCTTGGGGAGCTCTGCACGGAGGGACCAACTTGAAGGGGTGTGCATGTTTCAGGTCTTAAAAGTGGTACTTCTTTCTTTCTCACCAAGTGCATGAAGGCAACCTCAAAAGGAGGGGCATGGAATTTGGTCTCTCGCCTCTAGGGATGCTCTCATTTCCTCCATCCTGCGAGAACGGCTTTGTCCCTCTCCCACTGCCCAGTCAATCTCTGGGGAGGGAAGGAAGTCCTGCTTCCCCTCCCGCCTCCCCAGCTGCCTCTTCCAGCTGAAATCCTCTTTTCCTGGC